TTGGTCTACGGAGAATTGACAATTTCGTCTAACCTGTCGATATCAATTATGACTGTGGACAGATGAAGGTTGGCTTGGCCGAGTAGTTAGGCACTGGTCTAGATAATATCGGTGGAATATCAGTATCATGGAAACGTGTTGGTTATTGGGTAAGATGATAGGCTAACGGCATCCAAGACTGAACTGATATCAGTAACCCATCAACCTCAAGCTGTATCAGAGTATCAAGCTACGTCGTCGTTTGTTTTTCTCTTCACCGAGCACTACGAGTATTGCGATCAAAACTCCGTCTGAAAAGCAGCCGAATGGCATACGTTACATTGTCAATTCTGGTGGCATAGTTCACAGGGTGAACACAAAGTCGAGCATAAATTGGATTTCAGGCACTGGTAGAAACAAAAGTGGTCAGTGCTCACAAAGTAATCCGTTTGTCGGTCTTAAAGCCAGGGATGTGAAAAGATCTGTTCTGTAGGTATGGAAAAACACACGGATTTATTTGATTAACTATTTATCATTGAACATTGAGCACTATGCGCATGGTTCTTGTCAGTCGTTCAAGCAAATAATGTCCCAATCGTAGGAATTTTTGATATTGACGAAGTGTTTGCGAACAGGTTCCCACGCATGGAAATGAATAGGGCTGCGTTGATGAGTGCATTGAGGTAACTTGCTTACAATCGTCAAGCTCACCAACAAAGACACAATAAGACAAGAGCTGGTAACTGTATTTCCGCTTAATGTGAGGTTACATCGAAAGTTCACTAGGCCAGCCACTGATGACCGTGCGATTAACGTAAAACTGTTGACCGTTTCCAGATAGCGCCATGACCGGGGAAAAAGCTGGAAGTCAGCGTTGAAAACTGCGATCCAACGGATAACTACAGTATAAGATTTCGCCGTTGCAAGTAAAAAGCCCGACAATGCAATCTGCCAGTCTCTTCGATACAAACTATCACGTGATGATCCTGCGGCTCGATAAAGAATTCAATCACTGCATCGGAAAGCATATAACGAAATTTAAGTCAACGAAGATGAATAGATTTATCTGGGTTTGCACCAAACACGTACGGCGATCTCGTATAAACGGTTAAAAATAACAATAATCAAGATTCATTAGTCAAGTAAATGCACCTGACCGCTAATTTCCCACATCATGCAAACATGGAAAACAATTCGAGATAAGACCGTTGTTCGGTCAGTTTACGGACACCGTGCCGATGTAAGACATGATCACCGGGATTAGTAATGTTGATGAACGATAATGCATCACAATCGAATATGCGACACACGTGTATGAAAAACACATAAATACAACTTAAGGATTATTCATCAAGCACCAGATGAGATTGTCAAGGGAAAAATGAGACATGGTCAACATGACCGGTAACAGGATAAGCCTGAAGAATTTCACCAAAGGGGATAAAACTGAGTCGCACGAATCGGGTGAGAATCGTATTGGACGCGTTTTTCTAGCACAACAGGTGCTTCATGAGCACCGAATCTCAGGAACCAAGTAAACTATTGCTCAAAACAGGTGCTGATTAATAGAAAAAAATAAGTCTGAACGAGTACTCCAAAAAATTGGACTCTTAAGAGAAGTAATTTGATCGAAAAGACATACTTTATCTTCCTCGGTCACGGGAATGGCTGGTCGCATATCTGACTCCAATCCACTATCCCTGCCAGTGTCTTTATTATCCACGGACTGGTCTTTGGAGTCAATCTCAGCATCATCGTCCTCTTCCATCACCTCTACTGGTATGACAATCTTGGTCGAGTCGGGCAGCACTAAAACGCTTTCTTCCTGTTCAACTTCCGGCTGAGTGAGAGAGGAGAGAACGAGATTCGTAGGACAGTGGTGCATCAAAAGTGAGTCAATCGTGTAAATGGCTTGCTGAAAAAACATGATCAAACTGAAATTCACACCTCCGGGGATTGACGAATAACTGATACAATACATTGTCCACATTCTGTTGCGTCGCACCGCTTCTGGATTCGAAACAGATAGCTAAATGCTAGAAAATGCGGTACACCTTGTTAGTCAGCAGTAAATGATTTTGGTGATATGGAAATTTACGTGGGGAATTTGTGAGTAACCCAACAGGAACACTGAAAAATGAAACCAATCTTAGTGTTATAATTACAAAAGGCAGTGTCAGAACGAGTCGATTTGTTTATCACGAACACCGGTAAGGGTATCAACAAATTGGCGTACATACAACAAAACGTCTCATTTGTAACGGGTCATCATAATTCCCACAAACACACAGGGCAATTAATGAAACGCCCCGACAGTAAATGCGCATTTTCTGTAATTACAAAAGTAATTCTTTAAATCTATTCACGAATTCCGTGGAAATTCAATAACCGCCTCTAGATGTGTGCATGCTACTCATAAGTGTGAGCAGCACCTTACAACAGTAGTCTGCGATATGCATTTCTTCTTCCCTAAAACAACTTTAGCTTTAGATAAAGATATATATTGTGATGTGTTGGGATGATCACGAACCACTGAAAACGAAGTTGCTTGGTACTCCATGTTTGGTTTGCAAAGTAACCTACATTTCGTTACTTTTTTGTTCTTCTATAACGCATAAAAGGCAACTTGGTAAGACAAATAGCTTCGTTTCCGAAGCTTTGTGCCAATTGAGGTAAAAAAGGAACCTGGTTCGTTGCCTAGCGGACAGGGCAAGAAAGACCTGCAGATTTGCCCCCCCCCCCCCCNACCGTATCACAAGTACTCCCGATGATCGGATGAGCGGACAAACAAATATGTGATCGTGGTTAACCCGATTTCCGGTCTCATGATGAAATCATTTCTAGTTATCTGTGACTTCATTTTATTTTCCTAATACAATTTTGTTCCCAATCAGTGATATATATTGAGACGTATTTGCATGAATAAGAATCTCTGAAAACGAGCTTGTTCGCCACTCTGTCATTTTGTTTGATGTGTGCTCTGTGGGACTATGTTCGATTGCTTTATCGCCTGTTCGCCAAGCTTGGTAGTTTGTTTGCACACGGTAAATCACTTACTGTTCAGTTGAAGTGAAGTTCAAAATTAACAGTTTCGTGAAGTCTTGATGCATCATAGGAAATGAAATCCTCTTATAAAGCGCACACCTTAATATTGGAACGGTGTACTGGGCATTTTGACCCTCTCCAGTTTGAACGGTGCGTTATTCCCGGAATTAGTTACCTTTCTCTGGTGAACTTTTTGCCCGAATTTCAATGTTATTATAGGTAATCATTGTAATATATTACAATATCATTATTAGATAACACAATATATCACTATCCTGTATCGGGACGTGATCACTTATCTAATCCAGAAGGAAAACGCCTACATAGAAGACGAAAGAAAAAAGCAGCAGCCATAGCTTTTACTATTACCTAAGTCATATGCACCGAGTGACCGGCCGATGGCATAGTTTAGTAACTGTGTGCATTGTGTTTATTGGTTGCGAAGCAAGCGGCCAGACCGTGTCGATCGGTTAACCCGAACTAGCAACACAATTCGGGTGCAGTGGTTAAGCAACCATGAGAAGAACGAAAAAGCTGTACAGCGCAGTTCCATGCTTTCAATGATGAGCTAAACAATGATGTTGCGTTGTGAATCACCTCATAAACAGTGAACTTATTCTAGGCTTGGCCGACTGTATCTGGACTATCATACTTCACTCGCCTGGTTGAGTGACGCAGATTACCGACCGATTGAGAATTTCACATCTTACTCCACACCCCAGCTTACCAGCGAGGTCAACCGAAGTTATGGTCCATCCGTTTACACAAGCACGTCAATGCGACAGGCCTAATCGATGGATTGTACCACGCTCCCATCAGCCTAAACTAATCTCACGGCAGAAAACAAGACCATGACTTTGGTAACCAACATACCAAAATTGACCGTTATGATATTCCAGTTAAATAACCAAAGATTTCGCAGAAAAACCATCCAATGTAAAACTTATTTGGAGAAAAGTCAGAAACCGTATTTTGTCATGGTTTTAATTCCCTTTAAGATCAACAAACGCGCTGATTAGATAAACGGTATACTTCAGTAATTTATTGGTCGCGATACGGCTGAACAGATTTAAAGTAGCCGTGCCAATATGCTATAGCAACGACTGGTTATCATTACACAGCCGACTCTAGAAAAACAGAAGTAATCCATGCGTCTTTTTTAAATTGTAACTGTCCTGTAACTTTTACCATCTAAACCACGAATTCGTTGCGCATTTTTAAAGTTTTCCATCATTTGCGATGATAGTTTTTATTAAGTCCTGATTCCACAAGGCGGTAACGTCATTCTTTACCAGACTTCTTGGCTTCAAAAGCCGTTCGACCTTCGGGACTTATTCTTCTTTCCGAAAGCGGCTTACATTTCTAGGCTCCTTCGTCAACATTGCCAAAAATGCTATCGGTTTCCATCAAGCAATTATAATAACCTCAGTGCGAAGTCGTCAATTATATAATGTGTTCCCAGGGAACGTTCACCGTGAACCTAAAGAAGAAACACGCGTGGAACATTGTTTGTTTCTTACTTTGTAGGATTCGGCCCTACATCTGTAAGACCAAGAGCGACACCAGCCTAGAAGATCTCCTGATACGATTGTGTGCTAGGTCGATTACCTTCTTACAAACGATGCTCTCCATCAAGGGGAACTTAAGTTTATACTTTTCTTGCACAGCAGTAAATCAAGCTAAAGTCGCATCATTAACTAGAGGAAAACTTGCTGGTTATGAGATACACATATTGACAAAATCGTGATTGAAAATAGCATTGTAAACAGTTTTTCTCAAAAAGCCAAGTGACTTGGTCACAGAGCTTTGAGTCGCACCAGGTTGAATAAGCATATAAACACATTCTTCTACTCCCTCATAAATGGATGTATGCACATTGTCGCGATACCACGTTGACACACGTGAACGTTCCTCATACGGGTTATCTAATCGGTGAACCAAGTGGTCTATGCGTCAC